TGTTCCCTCCCTCCCTCCCTCCCTCCCTTCCTTCCTTCCTATCTTCCTTCCTTCCCTCTTCTCCCTCTTTTTCCTCCCTCCGGGTCAGAAGAGAACAGAAGGCATGGCTGACCCCTTTGCCTGTTCATGGCTAGCCACAAAGTCCTAATTTTCGAAGCTCTGGTCTCAGGGAACTCTCCTAGACCAACACCCCCTCTTTCCCCAAAACCTGGTTCTTCCCCCCCTTCTCCTTCGAGGTGTTCTTGCCAACATGTAAAAGGGAAAAAAGGGGGGGGCTTTTGTAAAACAGACAGGACTCACAAGGGGTTGCAGCAACGAAGCCCAATACTTCCCTTAATGAGTTAATGGAAAGCAGACCCTCCCAATGTCAAAATAACTGTGGGCAGCGGGTGTTTGGTAGATCCCTGGATTAGGCTAAAATGTCGTTTTTGGACTGAAATCTGCCCTGGTTGCCTTCAAGCAAAAGAATTCTGGGAGCTTCCGGGTTTGGGGAAGGATCCCCAGGAATCCCTCTCTTCAGTGACTCTCCATGAGAAGGGGATCCTAAATAAAATCAGTGTGGATCTTATTTAAATCAGCTCCGGCACATTTCATCTTTCCCAACGCCCAAATCTACCAATCCCAAACCAGCCCAAATATTACTGCTCTGCTTGTTCTGGGGTTCAGTTGCTGCCTCACCTGCGCTAAGCTTCTTTGCCTGTTCGCCCTTTACCTGCTTCTGGGCCCCACGGGTGCATTTAGGATGTTGGAAACCCGGGTGGCCTAGCGTGAATCTTGAAATCGATTGGAGGTGATGAAGCAAGAAGGAAGGGAGAAAAGAAAAGCGAGAAAATGAAGGGAGAAAAAGAAAAGAGAAGGAGAGAAGGAAGGGAAAGGGGAGGGAAAGAAAAAAGGAAAGAAAGGGAAAAAGAAGGAACGGAAAGGGAAGAGAAGGAAAGAAAAGGAAAGGAAAAAGAAAGGAAGGAAAGGGGGGAAATTTCCAAAGGAAATGCCATTTTTCCTGTTGCTCCTAACCTCAAAGATCCGTTTGTCTGGAGAATTTTACCCACGCAGGCCTAAAACCTCGCAGGGTTTACTCGGAAGGAAACCCCTCGCGTTCCCTTAAAATGTCTTTGCAGAGGCCCGGCGTGGCATCTTGCAAATAAATCCGTTTTAAACGCGCGCGGCATGAATTCAGGCCCGCGAAGGGCCGAGGCGCAGCCGAAGCCTTATTCCAAACCTGCGAGGGGAAATTGAGAAACGGGCTTTGGAAAGAGGCAGGTGGGATTTTAAGGGGAGGGGTGGAGGGGAAATGGAGGAACCGGGGTGGGGGTCTCCTCCGAGTCGAAGAGTTGGGCGAACTTGAATTCGCCTCCTTTTTAATACAGCCATTCCTGGAATCACACGCGAGTCGTTCGGAAAAAGAGACTTTTTAAACCACTCGCCCTATTATTTCGTAGTGGACAAGCGTGCCCACCCGCGTGTGTGATAGTTACACACGTGAACGCACTCACAATGGCAGAATACGGCTATTTTTTTAACGAGGGTTTTTAAAAAAGGCGTTTTAAAGCAAAAATCTCCTGTTCAGTTTTCCTCCGAAGCGCTTATTGTTTTGGGGGTTTTTCCCCCCCGCATTCTCTCTCCCTCGCTCCCGCCCCAATTTTTTACGCGGTCTGCTCGATATTTATCCTTGATTAATATTTTTAAAACAGTTGGCCTTTATTATTTTAAACCCCCCGAAAGAGAAGGGACGGGGTTCCGGATTCCGCCCTGCCTTTCCGTGGCTTGCGAGTTTGAAAGCAAGGCGTTGGAAATGTGCGCAGGGTAGAATAAAATAAAATAAAATATCAGAAGGATTTTGGGCTGAAATTGGTGGGGAGAGACTCTTTTTAGAGAGGAGGAATAATAATGTTAATTATAACCATCGTCATCATCAATAAAATCCCATAAATCTCTCTTCCAGGTAGGGACGGAGAATTAATCCCAAGGAAAACGGCCCTTTCTTTCCTTTGCTCCCATACGGCCTTTCAATCTCCCTCCCTTGCATTTTTGGGTCCGACCTCTGCCGTGGGACCACCCCGAAGCGGGTAACATGCGAGGATCCCCGCTTAGATCCGTGACTCCGTTCTCACGACTGGCTGGATTCGGGTTTTTGCAGGAAAGGCCAGCAAATCCGTTTGCATCTCAAAACTGAACAGCCCCCAGTCAGTTTTCCTGCTGGGGAAAGATTTATATTTTTTTTGCGGGGGAGGGAATTGAGAACGGGGGAAGAGTCCAATTCTGCAAGCCCCAAAAAGAAAAAAGTAAACTTTTCTTTCTCTTGCAAAAAAGTAAAAGTTTACTTTCGCTTTTACTGTAGACTCGTTTTATTGCGCTGGTTGGAAAACAACCCCAGTTAATAGAAACTGGCTTTTTCGGATCCCTCTCTCTGAGCTTCAAATTTCTTTCTCTTTTGGGGGGGAACGGGAGGTAATTTAAGTTCCTCACCGGCCAGTCGTCGGCTTTCCGACGGCTTCCCCAGTTCGTTCTCCCCGGCTCAGCCGCCCCTCCGTATTTCGAATAAAATGGGCCCTGTTTTTAGAATAAGCTGCTGCCCAGATGGAGACAGGAAAATTGTGTCTGCGTTTGGGTGTATTTCTCTTTTATTGCCACACGCCCAGCAAAACGAAGACACCCCTCCGAACGTTAAAATAACAAGGTTTTTCTTTTATTTATTAGATTTATACGTCGCCCATCTCACTGTCAAGCGACCCTGGGCGACTTATGGCGTATTTAATTACCGCTTATGATTAAGCTCCGGGTCAGGTTCACAAAGAAATAGGGATTAAAGCCGAGGGGACCACAACGCTAGCCCTTCTTCAGCAGGTCCATGACTTTGGACCTGGTGGCCTACCTCGCAGGGCTGTCGTTGGTGAAAGGAGGGGGTCCGCTGGGCATCTTGGCCTCCGGAGGAAAGGAGGGTTACTATTCTGGCCCGCAAATTAACATCGGGACGGAAAAATAGTCTCCAAGAATCTGGGGATGGGAGGTTTTCACCTCTGTTGGGGGGGGGAGGGTCTGCGCCCCTCTTTCTAGGGCCGCCTCGCCCTCCCTACCCGCCCCCTTTTCACGCCAGCCTGGACCACCCTCCTTCTTTCCGCAGACGCGGTGCCCGGGCGGCAGCCCTCGCTGCGTTCCCACGTGCACAAGCAGGCGGAGAAGACGACCCGGGTGCGGACGGTGCTCAACGAGAAGCAGCTTCACACGCTGCGCACCTGCTACGCGGCCAACCCGCGGCCGGACGCGCTGATGAAGGAGCAGCTGGTGGAGATGACCGGGCTGAGCCCACGCGTGATCCGCGTCTGGTTCCAGAACAAGCGCTGCAAAGACAAGAAAAAGTCCATCCTCATGAAACAGCTGCAGCAGCAGCAGCACAGCGACAAGGCAGTAAGTGGGCCAGCCGAGCCGGGCCGGGCCGGGCCAAAGCGCCTCTCCCCCTCTCCTGTCTCCCTGTTTGCATTGGCAGAGAAAGTGTCCCGGTCCACGAGCGAGCCAGCCCCATGAATCCGACAGGTCCCCCCCCCAAAAAAAACTCTCAAGATTTACAATTCCAATTATGCTGGCGGGCCCCCCCCAGACCCTTGGGAGTACAGTTCCCATACTGCTGGAGGGTTCCCCCTTCCCAGACTCTCCCATAATATTGTGGGTTCCCTTTTCCCAGATTCTCAGGACTACAATTCCCATAATGCCAGCAGGTTTTCCCCTCCCAGGCTCTGGGGACTACAGTTCCCATAAAGCCACTCTGGGGAGGGGTGGAATCTTGATTTTCTCTTCTTTAAGGCAGCCGTTTTTCTTGCCTCCTCCCCACTCAATTCTTTAGGAGTCCTGGTTTTTTGGGGGGGGCTCAAAGGGGGCAATGAAGGGAATTTCAAGTGGCAGGAGGGTTCCTGTGGCATGCCCTTGTGTTTTGCCACTGATGGAGGGAGGGGAGATTAACCTCGGTCCCAGATTCATTGTCCCATTATCCTCTGCCTTTCTCTGCAAAATCTAAAAAGGCAGGAATGGCTGCATTCCCATGAGATGCTGAAGGTCTTTAGGAAATGGTCCCCCCCTCTTTTTTTCCCAACTAGGGTAACATTTTGAGCCATCCAAGGAAGGCATGCCCCCCCTTCCCCAGCAGAGAGAGACAAAGTCTGAAAAGAGACTGAAGGGTACCCTTGTTTTTTTTTGGGGGGGATGGATTTGACGGGTCTTCAAGAGAGTAAGGGAAGCAAGGACCCGGGTGTTGGGGAGTTGGGTTTGGGAGAAGGTTGATTCTCCAAATCCTACAATTTGGAAATCAGAGGAAGGGGCATCGCCTATATCTGCAGCCTCGAGTTATTTATGAAAATAACAAAAGCGGGCTCAAATTCTAATCAACAATGTTAAATAAATAAATAAATTAGAGCAAAGGCCGTTTTTTGCAAGCTGGGTATGATGGACCAGGACTGGAGAGGGAAAATTCTCAGGATCAGGGCTTCTTTGGATCTCAATTCCCTGGGGGGAGGGGGTTGTCAACCAGTCCCACTGATCTGGAGTGAGCCCCATAGATTTGAGGCTACCATGTCAGGGTTCCAAAGTCTAAGACCTTCGCAATCCAGATATGGTAGCCCTGCCTTGCCCCATTGACTTCAATGCAACTGACTCCTGTGCAGAAGCCTAGTAGGCCTTCTGCTCAGGGTACAAAATTACTCAGCTCCCTAAAGCGGGTGCAGTTCCTCTTTGGGGGCCTAAGCCCTAGTTACACATAGCTAGCATTGCACCGCAAAGAGTTCTCCACCATTAGGCTCTTAAGCTCAGCAATAATATTTATTTTTATTCGTGGCCATCCGCCAGCTGATATTTAAGCAATATTGATATTTTTTTTTTCCGGGCGCAGGATCAATAGTGTCTCTTGCTATTGAAGGAGTAAAATCCGTCTGCAGGGAAAGGCAGGCAGATAATGATGGCAATAATAATAACAACAATAACAGCTGTAATGATTCATCCGGCTTCTTTGTAAAAACATCCACTCAAAGCAGCTACGATATCTTCCTTATATTTATTTCATCTATAGAAAAGCAGAGGGATGATTTCAAATAAGCCTGTTTTTAAAGCAAGCCAAATTTTTAATGTTTTTTTTTTTAAAGGACTTCTATCCCACCGCCCCCAAAATATGGATAGTTTAGCTGTGGTTTTGTTTGCTGTTTTTCCATCATGCTGCCTTCTGCTAAAAGTTATTTGATCTCTGCTGTAAATTCTGCAGAAGACATCTCGGCCCGCCTTCCAGATGTTCTGAGCTGCTTTGTTGAGAACCTTCGTGGTTGCACCAGATGGGAAGGGAAAAAGGGATTGGGGGGGCGAAAGCAGAGGGGGGAAATAAGTGGGACTGGCTTATAGTGGGAGGGGGGTCTTCTCATTTATCAGAATCAAATTACTTGATTGATTCCATAAATCAAAGGATTGGATGTACTTACTCCTATCGATGGCTGATGGAATGGAGCAGCTGGCAGATAGCAGAAAAAAAAAATCTTACGTTGTCTTAAAAATTAATTTCAACCCCTCCCAGAAAGAGTCAAAAAAGGCAAGATGGCGGCTTGCATAGTCAGTGCTTTGCCCCTTTTCTGAGGTCTGACTTTAGTTTGGCCATATTTCACTTTTTTACCTCCTCCTGTCTGGAAATAATATTGAGAGGGGCTCCGGATAGATAGACAGACAGACAGACAGACAGACAGACAGACAGACAGACGGAGAACAGATAGATGTGTGTGTATGTATGTATGTATGTATGTATGTATGTATGTATGTATGTATATATATATATATATATATATATATATATATATATATATATATATATATATATATATATATATATATATATATATATATATATATATATATATATATTTAGAGAGAGAGAGAGAGAGAGAGAGAGACAGACAGACAGACAGACAGACAGACAGACAGATATTGGCATTTAGCTTATCCAGAGTGGGAAGGTGTTTTTTTTTTAAATCCACCCCTCAAATAATTTTCCATACCCCCAAACTGATTAAAAATAACCAGATGATTCTTTCTCCATAGGGACGTGGGATGTTCACCACTTCTATGTATTTTTATATATTTCTTCCCCAGCTCTTTAGAAGAAAATCTAATTAGGGGTATTATTATTCTTAATAATAATCTCCCTCATTGGCAAATCACTTCTAGATTCTCTGGGCTGCTGGAAAGCTCTGCCCACCATCGAAAACACCCTTGGCCATGTCAAAAGTTCTCAGCACTAAATTGCCAGTTATCCCTGCCTCCCCCTCCCCATATGGATGTAGCGTTCTCAGATGCAGATTGAGAAATGTGGCTGAGGGTCATTTTTAAGCATCTCCCCTTTCTGGTACCTTTCTCTGCAGCTACAGTGGGGCAGCCCTTGTGCGCTAATTCCACATTGATGTGTTGAGCTTAGGCGATAGGGAGGAGAAAGCTGACTTAATTTCTGATTTGGGGCAAGAGACCCCCAAATGCCATCATCCATGCCCCCCTCCCCAAGCTTTCTCCAATATGCTGTCTAGAGGGGCCAAATTAAACCTGAAAACAGACTGCAGAGAATGGGATCGGCTTTCACCATCTTTGACCTGGGTAGATTTGGCTGCATTCTGGCTGACCTTTTCTTCTCCCCCTTTCTCCCCTCCGGTCTCCCCCCAAGAGTTTGCAGGGCTTAACTGGGACGCCCTTGGTTGCTGGCAGCCCCATCCGCCACGACAGCGCCGTGCAAGGCAGCGCGGTAGAGGTGCAGACGTACCAGCCCCCCTGGAAAGCTCTCAGCAATTTTGCTCTGCAGAGCGACTTGGATCAGCCTGCCTTCCAGCAACTGGTAAGAGCCAGAAAATCCAGCCCATAACTAGAGGGCAGGGTGTGGGGGGTGCCCTTTGTTGCATTGCTACCTTAATCATCCCACTCATCCCTAAGAATGGTTCCCTATCTCTGGCTGCATCAGTCCCCTCCCTGCATTCTTTATTAAGAAAAGTGGAGAATAGGGAAGAATTCTGCCCTCTTCTCCATCACTGCTGTTTCTCTCCCTCCCCCCCAAAAAAACCCTCCCCAGGTCTGTGCATTTGAAATATGGGGCCCAGCCCTGGGAAGGACTCCCCCCTCCCACCCACCCCAAGTTGTGTTTGGGAAGACAAAGGCGTCGTAAAATGCGGCCTGTGAAATGATCTCAAGTGCAAAATATTTGTCAAAAGGTTGTCTGCGTAAGGAGAGAGAGTTGGCTTTGCTTTGGGTGTGGGTGTGGATGAGAAAGGGAGAGAGACAAAAAAAAAAACAACCAACAAACAATCCAGAATCTAATTGGGCCTAATGGAGCAAAAATATATTTTTAATAACTTGATTCTGGTATGTGTGAGGTTGGAGAAAAGTGCCCAGGATGATTGGCAAGGGTGTAATGACACACCTGAAACAAGGCAAGCTGTCAACAACAAATATCCTTTTGCAAAATGCGCGTTAAAGGGCCCTGGTGCATGGCATGTGTCTTACAAATGAGAATAGATCGTCCTAAATTGCAGAGAAGGGGATANCATGCGAAGGTGGCTTCGCTTCCAGTATGGACTTTGGCATATGTGTGTGTGTGTGTGTGTATGAGAGAGAGAGAGAGAGAGACACCCCCCCCAACAGATGTTGCATGAAGCGATAAGTTACGATTTGGTGTCTTGAGCAAATCCAGAAGATGGATTGATCTCCAATGCTGGCCAAGCATGTGGGGTTGGATGTAGTTTCGGTCCAGCTGTCAGCACTAACATCTGAATTGGCTGCAAAAATCTAGTTGGCTTCAGTGCCCGGAAGATGAGATGACTTTCTATTCCTTTACCTGGGGTGTGTGTGTGTGTGCAAAATTTATTTATTAAATGCTGCCCATCTCGGCGTGGGTCTAGTAAAAAAAATCTCTTGACCTGGTTGCTGAAGCCTAAAAAGCCGCCATGTCCTGCCATGCATACACCTTTGGGTGCATTTATCTCCAAAATGTTGCAAATCACGTTCCCCCCCCCCCCCCCGAAAATGGATCTTCTCTCCCAATGTGCTGGATTTCAGATCCAGCCATGCTTAGATTCAGCCTAAGAAAATGCTTTCCAATTTTTTTTCCTTTATTAACCAAAACTGCTTATCAGAAAGCCTTATCAAAATTCAGGGACCGATCCTAGGTGCCTTCCTTCAGCAGCGTCATAACTTTGATTGGTCGCTAAAGGAACGGTCGTAACCTGAGGACTCGCTGTATTTATAAAAGCAATGTATGAAAGCAATATCCTTGAATGATCTCTAGGCCATTTCAACATATTACGGCTGATCATTTCATTGCTTTTCCTCTTAATAGGAATACTTTGGGGGATTTTAAAATATATTTTAGTTCATAGGGCCATCTTTTAAGTCAATTTAAATGCCTCTGTTGCAATCGGTCATGGGCTGATGTGTTGTTAGCCAAAGAAAAACCGCTTTTACCTAATTTGGCATAACTGACCCAGTTTTGGGAAGGACTGGCCTAAGGAATCTTCCTATGGATTAATTCACCTCCAGACACAAACAGGGATATTTTGTCACAGTGTGGAAAGAAAATAAATAGCCAGAATATGGATGCAAAAGTTTAGCCCAGGAGTGTCCAGCGTTGGCAACTTTAAGACTTGTGGACCACATAAATAAACATTTTAGGTCTTTTTAATAATCTTTTATAATTAGTTTTATTACGTGTTTTTATCCAGCATTAGACTATACTCAATGTATTTTTATTGTCAGGTCAGTATGATTCAATTTTTCTGAAGCTAGCTAGTTTTTGTTATACTGTCTGTAAAACGAGGCAGACCTTGGTCACCCATTGATTATGTCATTAATTGTAATATATTGCTATGTCTTCTTGTGTGGGTTCTGTTTAGTTTTGTTTTATTTGAATGTTTAATTTATGTGTTGGCCTTTGGCTGTAATAATAAATTGATTGATTGATTGATTGATTGATTGACTGGTGGACTTCCAACTCCCAGAATTCCCCAGTTAAGACCCTCAAAAATACAAGGGCCTGACCATGAGGATGCTGGCACAGTTGTAAGAGTGAGGACCCGTCGTTTTTTAACCCCATTGTAATTTCAAACAGTCACTTTAACAAATGATTGTAAGTTGAGGATGACCTGTACTCAATTAGAGTATTTTCTATCTGAAGACCCTCCTGATTTTCAGCCATTGAGACTGTCCGGAGGTGTACCCCATTTTTCTAACCTATCTCCCTACTTTGTTCCTTTTTTTTTTTTTTACTCCTCCACAGCTCTCCATTTCTGAATCCGGCTCCTTAGGCAACTCATCGGGCAGCGACGTCACCTCTTTATCGTCCCAGCTCCCCGATACCCCCAACAGCATGGTTCCTAGTCCAGTGGAAACGTGAGAGCGTCTTTTGAACGCCTGACCCTCAAGGACATTTCGCATGTTTTCTTTGCTTCTTGCATGAGAACTGAGCGCTACGGCAACACAACCTGTTAAATTATTCTCTTTATTTAAAAACCCGGCTCCATCTTGTCTTCTGTCGGACCGTCCGTGGCTGGAAGTCTTCCGGGGGTTCCCCTGACTTTGCCAAGCAGGGAGGGGGGAAAAGGAGTCCAACTTCCCAGGAATTCTGGTCCTTCCTCCCCCCCTCAAATACCTCTGGATTATACTCGAATGAGACTCAGATCCTGGTCTTGTAGTTTTAGAAGATGGCTTTTTCCGTTTTCCTGTTATTTTTCCTCAATGGAAGGAAATCAACTCAACGTGGAATGGCGTAGGGCCATCCAGATGGACCCCAACATCTGTTGCCTTCATCTCAACCAGTTCTGGATGCCCATCGTCAACTCTCTTGTGGCTTCCTTCTTCCCAATTGCCTGGAAAAACCTGGAACTTTTTCTGTCTCCGTTTTTTTTGGTGGTCCCAAAAGAGGAGATTTGTGTTCTTTCTTTCTCACTCTCTTTCTCTCCTCCTGAGCCCACATGCTTGCTGGAAAAATTCCAGCAGGACTTGTGTGTCTGGTCCAAAACAACCCCCCCTCCTCTTCCCCATTGCCAGTGTTAAATTATCTTGTGGATGGAAGGTGTGTGGTTCTTTCTCAGCCTTTGCAGACCAAAGTAAGTTATTGTTATTTATTATCGCGCAGCAGCAGTGGAGTTGAGAATTTGACCTCAATAATAAAAGAACAAATATCGGATGAGAAAACCTGCCTATCCTTGTCTTCTATACCGCTTGACCTTCCTGAAAGTTAAGGGAGCTGTAGTTCCTCGGATGAACTTGATTGCAGCTTTCCAGTCTCTTTGAACAGTTGATACCAAATCGTAAAGTTTAATTTGATAGTAATTCCATTTGGTAGTAAAGCTGAATCTGGCTTCTGGTGCCTTTGCGCAAATAGGCCCAGAATATTTTTAGCAGCGTAATCAAGTGCATGGTCACTTTTCCTGGCCACTGTCTATTATTATTATTATTATTATTATTATTATTATTATTATTATTATTATTATTATTATTATTATTATTATTATTATTATTATTATTATTATTATTATTATTATTATTATTATCATTATTATTATTATTATTATTATTATTATTATTATTATTATTATTATTATTATTATTATTATTATTATTATTGATTTAATCTTCAATTCAATTCACAGTCTGGGACCAGTAAAAACTTAACACTTCAAGTCCTAACCAAGGACCTAAGAGCTGCTATTATTATTATTATTATTATTATTATTATTATTATTATTATTACTACTACTATTATTTTAATCTTCAATATGATTCACAGTCTGAGACTGGTAAAAACTTAACACTTCAAGTCCTAACCAAGGACCTAAGAGCTGCTATTATTATTATTATTATTATTATTATTACTATTATTACTATTATTTTAATCTTCAATATGATTCACAGTCTGAGACTGGCAAAAACTTAACACTTCAAGTCCTAACCAAGGACCTAAGAGCTGCTATTATTATTATTATTATTATTATTACTATTATTTTAATCTTCAATATGATTCACAGTCTGAGACTGGCAAAAACTTAACACTTCAAGTCCTAACCAAGGACCTAAGGGCTATTAAGGTAACATCTGAGTATAGAGGCAGCTCTGAATAAGGTGATTTTTTGCAAAGTCAGGATATTCAGGTCTAATAAGTTCAAAATTTCCATGTATCGAGGCAGGCCTTTGGGTATTGCTCCAAGGGTTCCTATTACTATTGGTACAACCTTTGATTTTTTCCTCCACAAATGTTCAACTTCAATTTGCAGATCGCGAATATGCCGTTATTTCTTCTAGCTGTTATTATTTATTTGTTATTTTTTTCTAGCTCATTATTATTATTATTTGGTCTTATTGAGTCTCCCATCCAAATTATATTAAATTATATTCAGATCTGGACCCATCCAACATCTTGAGATCAACCAGGTTTTGCCCCAGGTTGCTGCATAACTAAGAAGTCAAGTATAACATGAACATATACAGGAAGGATTCATTAATTTGAGTTCCTTCGTTATATTTCATTTTGAGGATATTTATTTTCTTTAATTCAAAGCCAATGTAGAGTTTTCTCGTGGCTTCACTTCATTTCTGAAGGGTGCCTCTGTCCCTCCAAAAAAATAATAATTCAATTCTATATCAAGAATGGTTCCATAAAGTGTATAATTTGGCTGTTGGGCAAGGGAGAATTTACAAGACTTCACCAGGTTTCTTCACGGATGCAAGAATAGCTCAAATAAAATAAAATAAAAGTTTTCAAGGGCTGGGATTTGATCTCGCCAGGAGAAGACTGGCCTTCTCTACGCCCTGGATGAACAGAAAAATACTTGCAATTCTTTGTGTTCAAGTATCAGCACTCTTTTTTTCAAATCGGACATTTCTCTGAAAATGGGGAGATTTCCTGCAAAAACGACACAGTGGCATGTAGTGTGACTACAACAGCATCTCTCTGCCATCATCGGCCCCAGTTTGTGAGCCTGAATTGTGAACCTGCTTATTTATCACCATGATTTGTGCATTTGCCAATTGGATTAGGAGGCCAAATTATGTGTTTATCGTAATTTATTTATTTATTTGCAAATCGAATGCCCAGACCCTTGAATCATGGTTTCATTGAGGTGGTGTGTGTGTCTGTGTGTTTCAGTCACTCATGAATTTTTTAACTTCTGCATTGGGGCCTCTGTCATCTCTTCCAACTTCCATCTCTCTGTCATCTCTCCCAAAAAATGGAAATCTTTTCCTTCCTTCCTTCCTTCCTTCCTTCCTTCCTTCCTTCCTTCCTTCCTTCCTTCCTCTCCCTTTTCCTTCCCTCCTTCTCTCTCCCTTTTTCCTTCCTTCCTTCCCTTCCCTCCCCTTCCTCCCTCTCACTTTTCCTTCCTTCCTCCCTCCCTCCCTCCCTTCCTTCCTTCCTTCCTTCCTTCCTTCCTTCCTTCCTTCCTCCATGCATCTGACTGTCAGGTGTCCTTGTTTGACACTTGTAACCTCGTCTAGCTAAAAACAGGCTCCCCCAAGAACTGCTCCCGGCAGGTCAGCACCAATTTTCCCTTCTCCCTTACCGATCTGGGATTTTCTGGTGGTGCCCTGTCCTAAAGAATAACCAAACCAGTACACTTTGCCTACTTGAGTGGCCTCTTCAGGGTTTCAGGCGGTTAGTTTCTCGGCAGCAGCCTGGAAATGGTCAGCCACGACCCTTCTGGGCGGCTTGCCTTCCCACGACGAGGTTCAGGGCTCAGCAGGGGTGCAACCCCCCCCCCCCGTTTTAAGCGCATTTAAAAGGGGCAGAGTTTTTGGGAATTGGATGCTGGGCGCTGCAGCTTCCTTCCTGGCTTGGGGGGGGGTCTGTTTGCAGACAGTTTAGAAGCGTTGTGGGGGGGGGGGCAAAAGGCTCCTGGCCGGGACCCTCCCTCGGCGAAGTTCACGTGCCCTTCCGACAACCGTGGAAGGCAGCCTTGTCTTCTTGGGGGGGACGGACGGATGGATTTCACCAGCTCATCCCCCTTAATCACCTCGCACGGAATCGGCGGAGCAAATTGCTCTCAATTAGCAGCTGAAGTGAACCCAACTGCCC